GCAATAACTCATATTGAGACAAGATTTTAATCTCAGCAAAGCTTTGGATAATCTCCTGGCACCTGTGTTTGCTGCTCTTCCACCCCATTGCACTGCTTAGACTGAGGCCAAAGGCTAGATCCTGAAAGTGTGTTTGTGGCAATGGTCCTGCTTATGTGAGGGAGAGTCTTAGCACAAGACAGGCAAAGGTTTTGTCAGGATCTGCCCTTGGAAGTGCCACCTATGAGGAAATGACACCAATGTCATCATCTTTTACATTCCTTTGGAGCCTATTATTCTCTTTTACAAGTACTGTGCTAGTTGACATTATTTGTTGTGGCAGAAATCATACCCATGCATTATGCTGCCTTGCTTGAGGAAACGGTGTGAAGTATAGACAACTCTGTCCCTGGGAAACCAGGAGAAAAGTAATATCTAGGATGATTTTGGAAAGACTTGGGAAAGGTTTATCAGACGTAGATCTCAGCTACTGGAGGCTCTACATCAGCCTGTGTGTGCTCTGGAGAGATTTTTATAGTGGTTTCACAATACAAGCAAGCGGGGATGTTTTTGGTACTATGTAGAAACCACTGCGGATGCAATGGAGTCTTGCTGAGGCCTCTGTATTTGACTAAGATATGAACTCCAGTTAACAAGTGTCATGTTTGTAGGAATTCAGCGTCCGCAGCTCAAGGAAAAAGTAAGAAATGTACAAAAAAAAAAGGGTTTGTGTGTGATAATTTGAGCATGCAGTGAACACTGTTGTAAAAGGAGATAACATGGCTGGGCATGGGAAAGAAAAGAAAGAAATCTACATTGATATATCTTACATCCATATATGTATCTTTCATCTCCTTAAAAATGAGCATTATTCATTTTAAAGGGTTAAAAATAACATCAGATTTCTTTCCTTCTTTGATTCTGTGATTCATGTGTCCCATTTTAAAGTCTACACCCTGTGAAGAGGAGTGCATTATCAAGGAAAGAGGCTTGCCAGGGACAGAAGGTAATTTCCCGTAGCAGGTGCGTACAGCAGGTGGTACACAGTGTACCTGCAACGAAAAGGTAGATTTAGGCTAAGATTTTATTTAATATGGAAAACTTATTGCATCCTGAGCCACTACTGGGGATGTGCCAAAAATCGTGTCTGCAGCATGATTTATTACGTGAAAATACCACCGAACTAATCAGTGGAGTTACTAATTAATACAAATCTGCATTTTTGCATAAGCAATTAGTGCAAAGAGAGTGCAATGAAAAAGGAAGTTTGACTCATTTAATCTCAGTGTCTATTCAAGCGGAAAGACCCACTAGGGCAAGGCACTAGGATCTACATTTGGAATTTTTTTTCCTTTTGATTAGTTAAAGGAACTAAAAGGTCAAATTATCAATATTTAATTCAAATGGAAATGCATTTGTTCAAGAGGAAAGAAAACACTTTATTTAAACAAGGTAGGACTCTGGGGGTAAATGCCTGGATCAAAAATAATTAGATTTTGCAGTTATAACAGCATCTAAATCCCTTCTGATAAGAATCCTTTTTCCTAATAACAGAGGTGGTTTGACACTGATAGCAAAGACTGCTGACGCTGTTTAAACTGTAGCTTAGGCGGTAGCAGGCCTACCAATACAATTTGGACATTTGCTTTAATGGTACGTACTTCTCTGATTTGGGGTTTTTTTTTAATCAATTTGAATTATATTTTAAATCTATTGTGATTTCATAATTGTGCGCACTTGACTAAAAGAGTAATTTTAAAGGCTGATAATTAAACCTTGGTGGTGATGTATTTTCCATTAACTAAATAGAAATTTACATTTATAGAATTAAAACAACAACAGCATTTACCTAACGGGGAAGGCTCAATAAAATTAATACACTGAGTTTTAAGGGGGGAAAGAGCAGAAAAGGCACCTTAATCAGTCGTACCAATTTCGAGCCCAGCTGTACATTGTGTCCTAGAGGGACGCTACGAAGTGCGATGCAAACGCACCCGGCACGGAACCGGTACCGGAGCGGCACTTCAAAGCTTTGTTTTCCCGGCGATTCCTGAGCCACGGCAGCTGGAGCAGGCTGGTCACAGCTCGGAGTGATCCTGGCAGTGGGGCTGCCCTCTCCTCTCGTCCTATTCTCTCACCGCAGCGTTTGGAAATGGGCGAGCGGGGGAAAACCGCCGGCAAATCCAAGTCGGTCCTTCCCGAGCCCGAAGCCCGCGCCGACGGCGCCTTCGGCCCCACAGTGCGATGCAGTGGGGTGGGACAGAGGGACAGGGACGGCAGGCAGGGACGTTTTCCCTTCTCTTTTTTTTATTCAGGATAACCTTCGGGGTTTGTGTGGGTGCCTCTGGGGAAGGAGGGAGCGGGAAACATGATAGCGAAAGGAGAGAGCCCGAACAGCCGAGGCTACACGGGCAGTAAATCACTCGCTCAATTATAAGCGCGGCTTCCTCTCTCCAATAGCTCTAAGCTATTTGGGGAGGCATCCTTTCCCCGCATTCTCGCAGGTGCAATATGAATCAATTATCTTAATTAAGATAATGCCGCAAACCCAAGAGATTTCATCGTGAGTGGATTTCGCGCCCCGGACAACTGTAAGGTGTTTCCACCTTGCGCTGCTTACCCCCCAAAAAAACCTCCCTCCCGCCCGGCCGGGACGGGGCTCAGCCCCGGCGGCATCCCGCGGAGGGGCCGCGCTCGCTGCCACCTCCCGCCACACCGGGCCCCAGCCGGCCCCGGGATCTCCTCCTGCCGGGACCGGGAGGCAGCAGCTGAAGCAAGAGCGGAGGCGGCCGGGCCGGCCCGAGCTTTGTTGGGACGCGTGCGGTTCGCGTGCCGCGCCGCGGGAGGAGGGGGAAGGGGGAGAAGAAGAGGGGAGGGAGACAGGGAGGGAGGAAAGAAAGGAAAAAGAGAAGAAAAAGGAAAGAAAAAGAAAAGGAAAGGGAAAAAAAGGGGAAAAGAAAATAGAAATGCAAAAGGGAAAATTTAAAAAAAAAAAAGGAAAGAAAACGGAAAAGAAAATCAAAGGATTCGGAAGGAAGAATAAGCAGAAGCCGAATTAGAGGCCAGATGGAGAAGGAGGAGTCTGTAGGTCAGGGAGAAAAAAAAAAAAAGACACGCTTGGAGCGATAAAATCAAACGGCTGGGGGAAGAGGAGAGACAGGGGAGGTGGGAAACCGGAGCCATTGAGCCAGGCAAGGGACGGCCCGAACAGGGAAGGCAGAGCTTGGGAGATCGGTAAGAAAAGCAGTGCCGAAGCGACGGAGCGACAGAGAGCCCCGGCGCACCCGGAGCGCGGCGCCCGTCCTGTGCCCCGACGGGCAGCACAACAGTGCCTTGTTCCTCTCGGCCTGGCTCCTCCACGGCCACGCGTGTCACCGGGCCGAAACGAGCCCCCCGCGCCGGGCTCGGCGGAATTAAGCCCCTCTGTCCTCCTGCCTGCCTCTTTATTTGTCTCTCTACTCATCTGTCTATCGACAACGTGTTGATTTTATTTTGCTCCCAGGGAAGATGACTCCGTTGGTCATACGCAAAAGCACACGAGCATCCCAAAGCTCTCACCGCTCCCCGAGATCCAGCTTTCTGCCAGTGCCCTCCTCCCGGTACTTTTGCCTAGTGTTTCCCCAGCACCCCACAATCCCGGGTGTATTCCCAGCCAGTACCATTTAAAGACGGGTGACATTTTCCAGCAGCCGAGCCAGGGATGGACCAGACCCATCCCTCTCCCGCGCCCTCCAAACCTGTTTGTACCCCAGCCTCTCCCCGTTAACGGGGTCGCGTTCTCGAGGGAGCAGCCGGCCCGGCGGGAGGCCCGGGCCAGCCGCCCCGGGCACAGGCATCCCCCCGGATCCTGACCCCGGGACCCCTCCATGGTCAGAGAAGGCTCGCTACGAGCAGGGACTGCCCTTCGGTGGGACGGCTCTTCCCTCCCCGCCGTGCTTTAGGGAAGGGCCGCAGCCGCCGGTGACTCGAGGGCACCCCGCTCCAGCCCAGCTCTCCCGACCCGGCGATACACTCCATTCTGCTGGCCCTCCTTTCCCACGGAGAACCGGCCAGCTTGGAAATAACAAAACGCAGCCGGTTGCCCTCTGTATTTGATTACTTCCCCGGAGTCCCCTCCTGCCGCCCCGCCAGCCCTGGGCTATGTAGGTCACCAACAGGAGAGAAACATTTTAAAAATAACCCGACCTGGAAAAATATCTTCCGAAACCATCTCCTCGGGGTGGAATTATTTGTTTCTCATTTAAAGCCTCAAGAGGCGAAAATTATTTTATTTTTATTGATTAAATATCCAGATAACGCGCGCCGGTAGCACAGCTATCGTGAGAGGGGGCTATCTCCCCCCTTAAAGTGCATCTCTAAGATTTGTTCAGCGTTTGCAAACTCCGCCGAGGCGTTTAAAGACTTTAAAGCCACCACTCTTGGCGTCTTTCTTCCGAACTTCCCGTTAACGGGCGCATTCCCATCGAAAAGCCGGGAAAAGCAAACCGGAGCTTGGTCCGCGGGTGGGCACAGCAGTCACGGGACGTCCGTTTTCCCCATCACCGGAGAAATCCGGGGACGGGGGTTAACTGGGGGTCTGTGGCGGCAAGGGAGCGGCAAAGACTGGGACAGGGAGTCTCAGAGGCGCCCGTTAGGAGATGCTGAGGGCGGGCGGCGGGGACCCAGAACAATAGGAACAATGCGGCTCCGCGGGCCGGCGGCCCCTGGGTGGCGGGTGCGGTGCGGTGCGGAGCGGTGCGGTGCCACCCCGGTATCGCCGGCGGGTCCCGCGCGGTGACAGATGGCGCGGCCCGGCGGGTCACCGGGGGCGTGGCGGCTCCGCGGGCGGGCGCGGGCCCGCATACAAATCAGGGGCGTCACGTGGGGGGGGCGCCGCCGCCGCCGCCGCCTGACGTGGGCGGCCATATGGCGCGTGCCACCGGGCGGGGCGGGGCGCGGGGCGGGGCGGCGGCGGCCGCCGCGGTACCCGGGTCCCGGTGCCGGCCCCCCGCCGCGCATCCTCGGCCCCGCTATATAACGGGGGGAGTCCGGCGCTGCGCAACCTCGGGGAAAAAAAAACACCACACGCGCGCGGTGCCCTCGCACGGAGAGCTGTGCCGGGGTTATGAGACCGTCACCGCGAAGGAGAGGCTGAGCAACGGAGGTAACGGGAAACCGGGTTTTCGCCCCCGCGAGAAAGGGGTTGGCGGCGACTGCCGGGGTGGGAGACGGCCCTGCGAGGTCGGGTCGGACGGGATTTGCCTCTGCCGGAACGGCTTCGGTTTTTTATTGTCGCTTGCGATTGTTGCTGCCGGTGTGTGCGGGCACACCTGTATCCATCCATTCACGCACACATACATAAGTGTATACATATATATGGGTAAATGTGTATGTGCGTCCGTACACACATATAAATATGTATGTGTGCGTGCATTTACACAGAGGCATATTACATGTGTTAATGTGCTTCCACCTATGCTGCCTCCGAACTTCCAGCTCCCTTTCCTCCTCCGAGCGCGGTCACCACGGTCCCACCGCAGGTTTGCGTCTCGGCGGGCGGGCGGCATTGTTTCTTCACGGTGTGCTCGATGCTATCGGGGAACGGTCACAATCCCACATGAAATGTCCCCGTGGAAAGGCGGGGACGATGCCCGTCTGCAACGGAGGGGACGACGGAGACGGGAAACTGGGGCCAGTCTCGCACCTGTTACCACGGGCGGGGGCCGCAGGAACCCAGCGACAGTTCTGTGGCCGAAGGCGGGACCGGACAGCAGGTGCTCGGCGCCCGCTGGGGTGGCACAAGCCCCGCGCAAGAAGGCGGCAGGGGGGAGCCGCGGAGAGCGGCGGGGACAAGCGTCACGGGTGGCCATCCGTCCCTGCGGGTGTGTGTGCGTGTGTCCGCCTTTCTTCCTGCCCTATTCCGTAAGAGTGTTTGACTTTTTTTCCAAAACAAAACAAACCAACCCAATCTACGCTTGGTCCACTCGCGTCGTGCCGCTCGAGCTGCCTCCCTCACGCATAATCTGCTTATATTCCCCGCTAATATCGGCGAGTTACATAATGGCATTTGAACATATGTGAACTTAATTATAAGGCAGGACCGCAGAGACAATTAAAAGTTTGCCCTGGCACGGTGGGGAGTCTAAACTTCCCTCGGGAGGGGGTGGGGGGAGCGGGGCGGTGGGTGCGGGAGGATTCTCCCCGCGGGCGACCGGTCGGGGCCACAGGCACTGCTCTGGGCGCTGACACGTCTCTTTTCTGTCTCCTCCGCGATGCAGAGGCTCACCATGACCAAGTCGTACAGCGAGAGCGGGCTGATGGGCGAGCCCCAGCCGCAGGGCCCCCCGAGCTGGACGGACGAGTGCCTCAGCTCCCAGGACGAGGAGCACGAGGTGGACAAGAAGGAGGAGGACCTGGAGGGTCTACACGCCGAGGCTGAGGAGGACTCGCTGCGGAACGGTGAGGAGGAGGACGAGGAGGACGACTTGGATGAAGAGGAGGAGGAGGAAGAGGAGGAGGAAGACGACGACCAGAAGCCCAAGAGGCGGGGCCCCAAGAAGAAGAAGATGACCAAGGCACGCATGGAGCGGTTCAAACTGCGGCGCATGAAGGCCAACGCCCGGGAGCGCAACCGCATGCACGGGCTGAACGCGGCGCTGGACAACCTGCGCAAGGTGGTGCCCTGCTACTCCAAGACGCAGAAGCTCTCCAAGATCGAGACCCTGCGCCTGGCCAAGAACTACATCTGGGCACTCTCTGAGATCCTGCGCTCGGGCAAGAGCCCGGACCTGGTCTCCTTCGTGCAGACCCTCTGCAAGGGCCTGTCGCAGCCCACCACCAACCTGGTGGCCGGCTGCCTGCAGCTCAACCCGCGGACTTTCCTCCCCGAGCAGAGCCAGGAGGTTCCGCCGCACGTGGCGGCGGCGGCGGCGGCGGGAGCGCCCTTCCCGGCGCATCCCTACCCGTACCAGTCTCCGGGCCTGCCCAGCCCGCCCTACGGCACCATGGACAGCTCCCACCTCTTCCACCTCAAGCCGCCGCACGCCTACGGCGCCGCGCTGGAGCCCTTCTTCGAGAGCGGGCTGGCGGAGGGCGCCAGCCCCGCCTTCGACGGGCCGCTCAGCCCGCCCCTCAGCGTGAACGGCAACTTCTCCTTCAAGCACGAGCCGGCCGCCGACTTCGACAAGAGCTACGCCTTCTCCATGCACTACCCCGCCGCCGCCGCCGCGCTGGCCGCCGCGCCCGCCCACGCCGCCATCTTCCCGCCCGCCGCCTCCCGCTGCGAGATCCCGGTGGACGGGCTGGCGCCCTACGAGGGCCACCCGCACCACGAGCGCGTCCTCAGCGCCCAGCTCAACGCCATCTTCCACGACTGAGCCTCCCCGCGCCGAGCGAGGGCAGGGGGAGCGCCGAGCCCTGCCGCCCGACACCGCCTTGTTTACAGGGGGCAGCCCGGCGGGTCCCGCCGCCGCCTCCGGGGCCGCCGCGTCCCCCCCCCCGCTCACCCGCTGTCTTTGCTTCCGCTCCTCCGAGCGACGCTGTAAATTGGGGTAGGGGCATTGGGATCGCGTCACTTACCTGATCGGGATAACAAAATCACAAGCAATAATTAGGATCTATGCAATTTTTAAACTAGCGATGGGCCAATTACAAAATATATATGAAATCTATATTTTTCAACCAACGTTTTACTACTTGTTACCTTTCCCATGCTGAATTATTTTGTTGTGATTTTGTACAGAATTTTTAATGACTTTTTATAACGTGAATTTCCTATTTTAAACCATGCAGCTTCATCAATTTTTATACATATTGGAAAGGTAGAATTATATCTAATTTATACAAAATGATTTAACTAATTTAAACCAGCAGAAAAGTGCTTAGAGAAGTTATGTTGCCTTAGCACTTCTTTCCTTTTCAAATAGATGAAGAAGAAAAAAAATGCACAATCCGGGCAATTTCTTTCCCATGCAAGTCTCTTCTTTTTTCTTTCTTTATTTCTTTTTCCTTTCCCCCATACAATAAGAACCAGATCCCCTAGGTCTTGAGAAGATATAAGAACGATAGATTTATTTTCTATCAGAACATATCAATTCAACACATTACTTGCACAAACTTGTATATAAAGATTATAAGCAAATGCCAACACCCTTTTAAAATCAAAAGCTGCTTGACTATCACATACAATTTGCACTGTTTCTTTTTAGTCTTTGAACCCCTTGGCATTCCGTGGTTTTGGGTTTTTTTTGGTTTTTTTCTGTTGTGTTTTTTTTTTTTTAAGATAACTTGAAGATGTTAATGTTTCCAGGCGATATAAATGCATGATTTTATACATGTTCACACAATCCGTGGTTGTCATATGCTCATTTTATAAATCGGAACCGAAATCTAATCAGGTTGTTAAAGTCGGGCTATATACCTATTGTAGTCGATTAGTACGGTAGCTTGAAACAAATTCAAACCATTTAATCCGTAATTAGAACAATAGCTATTGCATGTACAATGCAGTCCAGAATAAGTGCTGTTTGAAATGTAACGCTGGTTCAACTGGAATCAATCTGTACTGTAATTTTGTTTGTAATCCTGTATATTATGGTGTAATGCACACTGGGATTTTAGAAAAACATCCATCCTTTGGAAACAACATAGTATTGAACATTTGGTCGAATGTTGCATTTCTCCTTAAATGTGATTTATTTTTTTTCTTAGTGTAAGTAATTCCTATGGGATTATTGTTTTATTCGGATAGCTCATGAAAGGTGCAACACTTATTATTTGTAGAATAAAATTGGACTAAGAAAAAGGACACGGATTCTTTACTTACCTTGAGGAGTACCAGGGGAAGGAGGCGGGGGGTGTTGGTTTGTTTACAGCGAACCCTGCTATTTGCAATGCTGATTTGTTGAATTAGGGAAACGGAGGCAGAGACGCGGTTCGCCAGAGAGCTGGACCTGCGGCTGCCGGCGCGGGATGCGCCGAGCGCCCCGCACCCGCCCGGGCGGTCCCCGGCCAGCTCAGCCCGGCCACTGCCGCCTTCGGGGCACCACTCTCGGGCTCCCAACCCGCCCCTTAACCGCGGGAGCTCCCGCGCCCGGCCAGGACCGGCACATCGGGAACGCGGCTGCGGCCCCGGCTCGGCTCGGCGGCAGCAGGTGCGCCTTCCCCTGCAAGGCAGACCAGGACCTAGCGCCATCGATTCACCGTCCCCTCCTCTTCCCCTAAGGGAAACGTGTTTCTTTAATCTTCACTGATTATTCCGAGGCTTAAGAAACCCGGACACACAATCTGCGGGAGAGCAATTCCCCTAATGATCAGGAACAATTATCAACAGGTCTTTGCCTCCGACCATCAGATTTAAGACGTTACCTGAAATACTTTATATGAAGCCTGCCACAAAGCGGAGGCTTTCACGAATATTTCACGAATATTTCATTTAAATCCAACAGAAAGTGAGCAGGCATCCTGACGCGAACATCCTCGTCCCCTATGGACGAAGGATTTTTTTTTCCCAGGAGAAATCAAGCTATTGACGTCTATTTCGAAGGTGTTTATAGCTACGGAAATCCAACGCGTAAGCATGGCGAACCTGTCCTAGTGGTGCAGCACACCCCTCTTCCAGCCTTCCCTGCTAAAAGCACACTAAAAACTGATTGCGACGCCGAGTGATGCATTTTGCACCATCTCCCTGCATTTCACCTGAGCCTGCAGCTCTAAAACTGTTGCTGAGACTGAAAAGAAAGCAAAAGGCAACTTTTCAAGCACCCGATTAACCTTTCTCAGTTAGTGGCAACAGAGCTAAATGTACCCTAGATAACCCGAGGGGGAGTAAATGAATGTCAGTTTTTCAGATAATATTGAAAAAGCTGACCCAGGCCTGCTCGCCTTTTGGTTATGCACCTTCTTCTTAAACATAAGGATTCTTCTAGTCAGTCAAGGGGCAACTCGCATGCCACCATCTTTTATTCAAAGGCAGGCACAGATGTTCCTTCTGCAGGGGAGGTTTTAATTTATGAAAATGATATTGTTTATGCATGAATGCACTCTGCATAACACACAGTACTTCCATCTGATGAGAGAAATACCACAGAACCAGTGCCAATGTCAGGAACATATTCTGCAAATTTAGTCGCTTAAATGTTTAATGAATATTTGGAAGGCATTTCCAAACCACAAGAAACCTTTTCAATTACCTTTTCTTTTTCCACTGTTAATAACAAAATTCAATTCCTCTAGCCAATGTAACTTACTTAAAAGATCTACCTAGGCTATCTGAATGTTTGCTACTGTGATACTTTAGAAAAAGCAATATTTTAATGTTATGAGCAACGTAATAGGGAAAATTAATTAGGCATTTTGGTAACTAGAGGCTCCATTTTACAAATCACTGTGAGTCTTGTTATTTCAATTAGTTTTGGGTGCTTTTTTTCCTCCCACTGCCCCTATAAAATATTGGAGATCTTTCCCCCTCCCCCGCTTTGCTGATGCTTCTGATGTCTCCATGATATTTCTTTCATACTATTAACATCAAGCCAAATCTTGAAATTTCTGCTCATGACTCCCACAGGAAGGTCTATCAAGGTCTCTTTTAATGGAAAGAATTACTCACACTGTTCCTCTCCTATAAACATATCACTAATTAACTGAGGCTATAGTGGGATTATCTGACTTCCGCATGCAGAGAAAACTCTGGGATTGAGTTGTACCCACACGCACACATACTGGGTCATCTGACACAGGCCTGAAAATGTATTTTTATGGCTTGTTGTGACCAATGGCCCTTTCCTTCTTTACGACATACCTCCTACAGCAGAAATTGCTCTGCCACCAGTGTATGCTTGAGGAGACCTCAGTGAAATCTCTGCTGGTACAGTACATAAGTAAGTCACAACTTGCACCTTTTCCCTTGGTGTTCTGAAGCAACAGAAGAGGGTCTGGAGTTTATGGACCCCTCGTTGCCTGTGATACAGCTGAGGCCCCAGCTATGGCAGAGGAAGCTCAAATGGTGGAATCCCAGGTTACATCCACAAGAACTGAGAGACTGAAGTCTCAGGTTTCACATAGCCCAAATGAGAAATGTGCCTGAACAACGTCAGACTTTGGTCCACTGACTTCAGAAGTGAAGGGAAGTAGATTCAAGGAGAACCAAGATTCCCAAATTCACTCGAAGAAAACAGAGAGCTGCTTTCTCCAGAAGATACTGTTCTAGCATTTTAATAAACTGATAGTAGAAAGCAACATGCAATTCCAGAGCTAATAGGGATTAATGGAAATAATTCTAAACTAAGTTTTGAGAGCAGGCAAAACAAATCTTTCCTATCTCCTGTACAGTAAAAATTCTTGCAATTATTTCAATACTGTAACTGATCAATCCACCATGATCTTAACAATTGCTTTTGACATATCAAAAATGAGTCTCTTTTAAAATAGGATACAATACTTCTGTTCAAAGAACCATTTAGTCAAATAGTTTTAGAAATTGCAAAGTTAATTTCCATTATCTTTTTTTATATTTAAAGTATGCAAAGAGAAAAACAATCAAACAAAATCCATTCATTCCTATTGAGGAAGAACTCACAGAAATGAAACTTGGAGTTCTGCCTGGTGCTGTAGCAGGGAAAATATGTAGACATTTGTCTTTGTTTTTATTAACCAGGATGGGATGTATGGTAATTTCAGAAATTACAAGTGGTCTACACTCTTTCCTTAGCTGAAAATCCCATGATCCAAAAGTCCTGAAAAATACAGTACATAAATAAATGTTGAAACATCGAGTTGAAGATCTACAAATAGACTGTTATTTAAATATGTACATAAGTGTTTTTCTAAATAATTCATATATGTATTTAACAAACTGTCAGAAGCTATGCAATACAAAATTAAAACTGACAATGCTCTCAAAGCATTCTCTTAAGTATTTAGGTTGCCTACAGGGTATGTAAAACATAGAATATCAGCCCTAGTTTTCAGTTTCCTAGCTTGTAGTAGTTTGCAGTATAGAGTTAACTGCATTTTGTATGAAATAGAAGCAACTAAGATTTACACATTTACACTCATTTTGGTGACAGAGCAATAGAAAAAAGATTCAGAGAAAAAAATATTGCCTTAAAGAGATAGCATATCAACCTTAATGCAAACAAAAGACAATGTCCTCTGATCAAGACATTCTTATTTTATATTCTTCCCATTACCACATTTTTCTCCAATTAAGATCAATATCCATTCAAGGGGTCTCAGGAATTACTTAAATTTCAGACTGCATTCCTGCAGCTTCTTATGCCTGCATAATAATTTCACTTGTTATTCTTGCAAATATTTGTCCATTTCCTTACCTGCTTTTATTTCTCTTGTTTTTAATGCTTTTCCTCTTTTGAGAATAGAGAAAGATGTACAGTAATAGTAATTTTCTCTTCTACAGACGATTGATGCCTTTTTTCTTCAGAATAATTTATGAATTTGCTTACTGTC